CAGCTAGACAGCCTGTCCATTGGATCAGCTTCTGGAAGGCATACAACACCTCCGAGGAGTGATTCAACACCTTCAGGAGTGAGTGGGGCAACACACACACAAATGTGTCTACTCCCTGGAGTACCTGCACAAGTTCCTAAAAGAGCAGTCATGCCTGCTGAAGTCCTAGGAGTACGCAGAAGCAGTTGCCAGACCCGTCCTGCAGACAAAAACTGGGATTATCAAAGGACTCTAGATGAGGAACAGTCTCAAAAAGAGCAGCATGACAACTCCATGGAGAAACCTAACACTCCTGAGGTTCATGAAGAAACATCTGATACATAGGAGACATTCTTTGCTGGAATAGCAAGTACCGGTCCATCTAACACAGACCTTCCAAGGACACTAAAGGAAGCCTTATCACGTCCGGATGGAGAATTATGGAAGTCTGCTTTGGAGGAGGAACTCCTAAGTCTCAATACTAATGCAGTATATGACACTATTTCACTTCCGAAGGGAGTGAAACCCATTACATCAAAACCTGTGTTTTGGATTAAGTTTGATCAAAACGGAAACATTGAGAGATACAAACTCCGGATTGTTGCACGAGATTTTACTCAAAGGGAGGGGATTGATTACCAGGAAGTTTTTGCTCCGGATGCAAACTTAGAGTTGATCCAAATTATTCTAGCCCTGGCAGCAAAGTACAACCTAGAACTTGATCAAATGGATGTCTCCACAGCTTATCTCAATGGAGAACTTGAAGAAGAACTGTACATGCTTCCTCCAGGGGGTGTTCCTATCCAACCTGGATACTGCTGGAGGTTGAAGAAATCCATCTACAGATTAAAACAAGCTGGTCGTACATGGAACAAAACCTTTGATCACAAGCTCCAAGAGCTCGGTTTCACAACACTAAATGCAGAAACATGTCTCTATGTATTCCGGGACAACAAACAAATATGCTTTGTTGTTGTCTATGTACATGACCTCCTCCTAGGAGCTTCATCCCGAAAATTCATGGATATCACAAAAGTCAAACTCGAATCCATATTCGAAATGCAGGACCTTGGAGAAGCAAAATACATCCTTGGAATAGAAATCCATTGTGATTATTCAAACAAAACAATATCCCTATTGCAACGCCAATACACTGACACAGTCCTGGAGTGTACTGGAATGAAAAACTGCAAACCAGTATGGACACCAATGGCCCATGGATCAAAACTGCTTGCAAATGCTCCAGGGGAAGATATTGTGCAACACAAGATGCATATTGAAGGGCGTCAAGTGTCATACCTCTCAATTGTAGGCTCCCTCATGTATGTCATGCTCGGAACCCGCCCAGAAATTGCCTACGTTGTTGGAATACTAAGCAGACATAGCTCAGCTCCAAGGAGCCATCACTAGGAAGCTGCAAAATGTGTCCTCCGATATCTGAAAGCAACCAGGGACATGGAACTACGATATAATGGCACAGATGTCTCCATGGACATGGATTTCTATGGATATTCGGATGCAGATTGGGCTGGAGACCCAGACACGTCTTGATCAACATCAGGTCTTGTTTTTATCACCATCCGAGGAGCAATCTCCTGGACAAGCAAAAAACAAAGCATAGTAGCTTTATCCTCCACGGAGTCAGAGTACATTGGATTGAGCAATGCTGGACAACACCTTGCATGGCTTCGGACATTGTTTGAAGAAATTGGACATGCTCAAAATGGACCTAAAACATTGCACTGTGACAATCAAGCAGCTATTATTCTTACACAAGATCCACAGTTCCGTGCTCGCACAAAACACATTCAACGGAAATATCATTTTATCCAAGATAACTTAGTATCAAAGGGAGAGGCAGTAATCAGATATGTTCCTACAGGAGATATGGTTGCCGAAATTCTCACTAAACCCCTCACTGATGAAAAACACTGGAAATTCTCTAAAGCTATGGGACTACGGTTGCACTCAAGTGGGAGTGACAAAACCGGATAAACCCCGGTCTCTGCCGAAGCAGCCATTGTTCCCCATGGAGCATAGCCACCACTCCATGGAGTCACCATTGTTCTCCTAGGAGTCATTATACTATAGTGAGTAGCACCTCCGACTATAAGTAGTAGGGGGTTTAGTATAGAAATACCTCAGTCATTTCTATAGCCTCTTGGGCAGCAGCTGAGGTATGTTACATTACATTTATTAGAGATCACCTTAAACTAACATCCATTGTAGTTTTCACATAGGTAAATAATAAAGTCGTTTCTATAGCCTCTTGGGCAGCGGCTGAGTTTTCACATAGTTTTATTATCAATTACAGGCCATGGACCTATCCCTCATTCACCTCCAAAGACCAAGGTATTATACTGATATATTTTAGACCCTAGAACATGGTCATAAACTATGGACCAATCCCCCATCAGTTTTAAGGACCAAGGTATTATCCTTAATTGGTTTTAGTCCCCACTATATAGACCTAAACTATGGACCAATACCCTAAACACCTCTAAGAACCAAGGTATTGAGGGCTCTTAGCCCCATCCTTTTGGTGAAGATGATCAAGCTAAGAGCCCCCCCAAAGTGGCCGCCTGAAGTGGATTTTCTAGTGATACCCAGAGGTGGAAAAGACCTAGGAGATCAGTATGTTCTTTTGAAAGCTATGGAATGAACACCACATATACTCTGTCCAAACCAAGTTGAAGTTGTAAATAAGTATACACTGGAGGCATTCAACCACAAGTTTTTAGCTAATCACAAAGCTACTCGTTGGGCACACATCCAATTACCAAATGGCCAAGTTGCTTGTTCATCTTGGAAAGAGGATAGAATGACAATTGTACGGGTTTCTCGCAATGTAAAGGTATACACCTGTTTAATCCTACTAGAAGATTTCACTCAACTTCTCATTAGTTTGACTCGGGTGATCATATAGAAGTGGGGGAAGTTCTATTCTATTTCCAGCTTAAGATCAATGGCATACAGAAAAGTGTTGCATTGGTGTCACTGTACTCACCTCCAGACCAACAGTTACTCCACATGTCTTCAGGATCAGTCTGGTTGTCTGAGCCACAAGGCAATTGTCTTCTCAAAGTGATTGATGTGAAGACAATATTGGGTGTTGTAGCAATGGTCCCTTACAGTGTAATGGGTCTGGGGCAGTCCCAAGGTCGCTTTTTGCTCGTGGAGAAAACGGGCTTGGATTTACATATAAATACACATTTTTTTGCTATTGATACAGTGCTCTATCCTAAGTTCTCTTGCATTTATGGGATAGTGCCTCAGAATTTCCCCTCAACTCCAACATTGTCTTCAGTTTTGATAAGCCTTGCTCGGAACATTTGAATTGATGGATATGTTGTCCTACTATTGACACTATTGTCTGCTGCCCTCGGAGTGCAACATTTCAGAAGTTCACATGGCTGACATCAACCTGTGTGTTGATTTTATTGCCATCTGATGGATTCTCTGTTCAATTGAGAACTTCTGGG